TAAGTGCTTGTTTTTACCTAAAGACTGATGTGCATGAGTGAGCCATCATAATCAAATCCTAGAGCCAGATCTGACACCCTTCCTAAGAAGAATACAGTTCTTCTGGGTGTAGCAGTGTACATATGCATTGTGAAAGCTGTATCTTGACCTAATGTCATCAGATGGATCTGATGGAATTATTTCAGGAACCGTACCGTGACCCCATCTGCACTGACTATTTAATGTAGCTTCAATCTTTCTTCAAAATGCAGCAGTTAAACAACGCACACTGCAGTGTGCTTTAGGCCCAGTAATCCGACACAAACAAAGTCAAGGGACAGCCAGAAATGAAGCGCTTAATGAGTATCAGCATTAGTGGCCCGATCAAAAGACAACCTGGCAAAATGTCACTACTTAAAATTATTTATTTATTTATTTATTTAAAAGTTTTATATACTGACCTTCTCACCTCTCTTGAGGGACTCAGACCAGTTTCCAACCATAATGTACATACAGTCAATAAAACATCATACTTCATATTGCAATAAAATATTAAAACATTAAAACAGCAATTACATTCAATAAATACAATGTTCAGTCATCCCACTAAATTTGATGTTCATCATCCTCCATCCATATCTCAGGGTATTGGCTCACTCATTGAATGCCTGTCTCCATAACCACGTCTTCACCTGCTTCCTAAATGTCAGGATAGAAGGGGCGGTTCTGATCTCCGATCGGAGAGAGTTCCAGAGTCGAGGGGCCACCACCGAGAAGGCCCTGTCCCTCGTCCCCACCAGACGCGCTTGCGAGGCCGGTGGGACTGAGAGCAGGGCCTCTCCAGACGATCTTAATAATCTTGATGGTTCATAGGGGAGAATACGTTCGGAGAGGTAAACAGGGCCGGAGTCGTTTAGGGCTTTATAGGTTAACACCAGAATCCTCCACCTTGTGCGACTGTGGAGAAGAACAGACAACTCCTCATCTGTATGCATGTCCGCAATATCCTGCCTCATGTACAGAGGATGAATTGTTTGAGGCTGCAGACAATGTGGTTGCTGTTGCCCATTTTTGGTCAAAAGATACTTAGCGGTTTGTGTTCTTTTTTTTAACAGTTTATACTAATTTATGCAATGCTTTTGATATGAAATAATATATGTTGTATAATTCACAAGCCGACATTGGCACTGCATAATATGAATTGCTATGCAGACACACAAAGCATTCTCCTGGTGCGCATATTCACCTTCTGGACGGGGCAGTTGAAAAAAGGCCTGCACTCTCTGTGCCTGTCAAACTGTGGATACTGTGGATCCTGGAACTAGTTTGAGGCTATTCAGGGCTCAAGCTGGTTCCAGGGTTTACAATCTAATCAGCCACACAGCAAAGCCACTTTCTTCAATACAAGTTTCAAATAGATCTAAGTGGTTCGTGTAGAAGTGCTCCATGTTGAAGAAATGGATGCCCATGAAGTCCATTTAGGGACAAGCAGAGGAAGCCATAAGAGTGGCAATAAACAATAGCACATGAAGCCTTAAGAGCAGTAATAAGCAATAGTAGAGCAGAGATGGCGTGTACATTGGCCTATTGGTTTATTCCCCCCCTTCTTTGTTGCCCAGTGCTACAACTGTGAAGAGGAGGCCATGTATCACTGCTGCTGGAACACATCCTATTGCTCCATCAAGTGCCAGCAGGAGCATTGGCACGCCGAGCACAAGCGCACCTGCCGCCGGAAAAGATGAAGGTCCCTTGCCCTGCGGAGGGGCCGCCCTGACTGTGCGACGCTCTGACGCAGCAGCTTCCGAGCGTTTGGTTGGTTGGTTTCTAATGTCTGTTTCCAAGGGGTCAGATTTATATAGAGTTCGTTCCCTGTATGTTTCCCCCTCCTTTCTTTTATTTTTCTTTTTGCACCAGCCTTTAAATCACTTTTTTGTAAAGAACTTTTTGCACAGTTAGATTTCTGTCTTGTTTCATGCTCCTCTCAAATTGTCTGCTCCTCTCCCCCCCTTCCATGTATTTTTTGTTGTCAATAAGACAATTTGAATCTCAATTGGAGCATATTCCATTTTGGTCAAGTTTTACCTGGGAAATTTGTTGTGTTTTCGGCAAATTAAAAAAAAAAGGAAAGCAGAGTTTTTAGGTTTCATAGAGACAAAGACATATAATAAAAAGAACGTTTTAAGATCTTTAAAAGAAGTTTTTAAAAAGTTTAAAACTGTTCAGAAAAGAAGACAAAGCATACTACCTGGATGAAAAGCTCACCTGTTAATTGCATGAGCTGGTTTTGTTCAGCTTAATTTACTGTTTCAAAGGCATTATCTATTGGTTTGTACCACTGGGTATACTATTCAATTTTGGGAACAGGGTTGACACCGCAGGTTCTAGTCCTGCGTATTTTTTTCTTGAAACTTTTTTTTCCCCAATTGTACCAATTTTTTTTCAATATGTAGCTTTTTATAACAAAGATATTAGCTTTGATCTTAGGGTTAAAATCTACAGGGGACTGGGTGGCCTTTTGCTGAGCCAGATCTTAGGAAAGAAAATATTTAAATTTTAAATTTAAATTTTTGCACATTTCAAACTTCTTCTACAGTGAATGCTTGTAAAAAGAAAGCCAAAAAAGAAAGGAAATCCCAGTTTTTAATTTAGTCATCTAGGGAGAAGCAGTGAGGATGAGGCATAAAAGGAAAATACACTTAACCCCCCCCCCCTTTATAGCACCCACAAAATCCCCACCATATGAAATGATATTCGATTGACCATTAATAATCTTCGTTGCTTACTCTATGGTAAATTAATTGAATTTGGGGGATAGGGCAGAGCACTTAAGTTTCACAAAAGCAGTTATGTCTGTAATAATTCGTTATTGCCATCTCTATACTTAGAATGAAGAATAATGCATGTTAATTTTTCCTGTATTAAAGATGCTGTGATTTGTAAAAAGTCTGTCTTTTGCAGAATGTCTGGATAAAGAAGCGTTCCCTTAGGAATGGATCGATAGTTGAAAACTGATTTCCCTCCTTCCTTCCTTTTTGTTTTATTTTATGTATAGCTATATATATAAAATGCATCCATCTTCAGAGACAATTTTTTAATAATAGGTGTAAAGGTTATTTAACCAACCTTTAATTTCTTTTAAAGCTTCTCACCAATTTAGGCGTCTTTCAAACAAAAAGTGGTCTTAGACTCAATTAATGGGCCATTAATCGCCTAGTAATTTTTTTCCAAGTTCGAAGCATAATTTGTAAATATTTATTTAGATCTTGGATATTTATTGAAAGCGAAGACACAATGAAATTATGGAAATGGAAGAACTGGGAGGAAGGAAATGCTTTCTCTGTTTTCTGTTTCCTCTGGATTTTAGCAGGGTCCGTATGAAGATTAAGTTCATATTAAGACTTTTGTGATCTGTCAGGACAACCCAGATCATAAATATAACAAACTGGATAGTTTCAAAAATAATTTTCCAGAATTCAGACCACATAATCTGACTTTAAAATAGACATAATAGAGAGATGGTAACATTATTCCCAACCTAGCGATCTTTTCATACAAAATGTGCACACAGATCTCATTCAGGTACATACACTTTGCTGCTTGTTCTAGTGGGCAAAATATATTTATATAGGCAAATACAAATCCAGGCAGATTTGTTTCTTTCACTGACATATATGGGACAGATGTTACCAACAGAGTAGCTCTACACAAGCTTTACACATGCTTTTGGGCCCATAGAAAGATGCTACATTGGTTGAGAGCATCAACTGATGTCATGAGATAACACCTTAGCACAGTGTTTCTCAAATTCTGCTCCTCCAGGTGATTTGGACTTCAGCTCCCAGAAATCCCAGCCATCTTACCAACTGTTAGGAATTGTGGGAGCTGAAGTCCAAAACATCTGGAGAAGCAAGCACAGTTTGAGAACCACTGCCTTAGACAATAGAGTAACTAAGTTTCTTTGCTATGCTATGAAGGAAGTCATCACCATTGCAGGAACTGCAACAAAAATAATAACCTTTAATTGTTTTTACAGTTTTCAAAAACCTCAACAAAAACCTTCGGTCCAAACCTAAAAAAGCAAAACTTTTTGTGAAAGCTCTTTTTAAAAAAAATGACGTAAAATCATTCCAAGATATCTAATATTTAACTGATAGCTGCATGAAAGTAAGATTCGTGTTCCTTTGATCTTTTTCTTTTTTGTCTCTGTTGACACGGTTGCACATTTTCGAGTTACTACAGTGTGAAAACTGTGTGTTTTTTGTAAAAATCGACAAAAGGATAACAAAAAAATTGTGGCCTGGTTTTGTATAAGTTTTAGGGGAAATATCATTGTTTTAGGAATCTTGATTTTAAAAATATTTTTCCTGCAAATCATAAAGCTATATTAAAGTGTTGAGCTTTTAGCCACTATGCACATTGTAATTTACTCATTGTGGCTGTCCAGTTCTATGATGCATTCTGGCATTTTGTAAGCTGCTCTGACTAGCAATATATAGAGTCATTAAATGTGTTAACATTGGTTAATAAATGTATTTGAAAAGGCAAGCAAGCGATATCTGTCTTGTGTTACTCTTGGTCTCTAGTAGCTCAACACCAACCTTAGTAACATTTTAAGCAAATATGGAACAAACAAATTGATGCGTCTTAGTTATATACACTTAAGTAATCCCTTCTGGCCATTATCCCCACTCCTCTCAAACCAGACAAAAATGTCATTCACCCGTATTGCAGCAGAATGAACCTCCTTCTCTTTAGGCTAGGGATGTCAAACTCATTTTCACAGAGGGTCAGATGAGCCTTATGGTTGCTTTCAAAGAACCTTTTGTAATGGTAAGACTGTATCAAAGTTTCCCTGACTTTGAAAGACTTCTGGGCCACATAAACAGCATGCCAGGCCGTACTCGGCCCGCACGACTTGCATTTGACATGACTGCTTTATGCAATTGATGAACATTACAGTAGGTTTTGGGGAGAAGTTACAATCGTGACAGTAGTGTTAACTATTGTACTTCCCTTTTCCTTGAAATAGACTGTACAGGCAGTCTCCCCAAGTTACAAACATCTGACTTACAAATTACCATAGTTAAGAATGGGGGTGAGATAACAGGAAGTGAGAGAAATCTAACCCTCGGAAGGGAAATTCAAAAGCGTTTTCATTGGGGGAAAAGGTCTTTCCACTGAAGCTTTATCACCAATCCTTGTTTCCACAACAAGGCATTTTTTTTTCATAATCCTATTATCACAGGGATAGGAAGTAAGGTGAAATCTTCGGAACAGGGGCACAGACAGCAAAGCAAATTTCACAGGAGTATTAACCCTTCCCTATGCTATCCAAAACTATATGTGTGTGTGCTTGGAGTTACACTTAAAAATGTATGTGTTCCAATTTACAAACAAATTCAGCTTAAGAACAAACCTACAGAACCTATCTTGTTCGTAACTTGGGGACTGCCTGTATATAGTTGCAGTTTTACTCTTTAGTCTGACTGTAAATAAACGCTATTATATATTTATTACTTCTATATACTGCCTTTCCATCCCTTTATGATAACTATGACCACATGAACTAGGCTGATCTGAGCAATCGGGACTGGTCTACTTTCATTCAGTAAGGTGATTCAGTAAACCTCTCATTCTGATCAAAAATCCGAAGGTTTGCTATACCATTACCACCAATGATTGGCGTTGAAGTACGTTTCATTAGGTATCCCTTAGGAGGTGCAGAAGACCAAGCTCTGACTTTCTTCTTTCTGATTCCTTAGGAGTTCATGTCCTCCCAATGTGTTTGGGATTTGCTTACAGTCGTTTTAGATTCCTCTGCTAATTTTAGCTCAGTGGAATGAATGAGTTGACATATGGGAGCCCTATATAGTCACATCTGCTTAGCAAATGTATAGAAGTCTCAGAATCAGAAATAAGCTGGGCATCTTTACACTTAAGGAAATTTAGTAGATGGAGGAAGAAAACTTAATGCATTTCAAAAACATTTATGAAGTTTTAATAAAGGTTTAAGATTACATTGCTGTTTTGTGTTTTTTAGATTTGTTGCAAAAATTATTCCACACAGACAATCAAATTACATTGGGATTTTTAAATGTTGAGCTATGAATCAAAACAGTAATAATAACTTTGGGAATGCACTCTCTTTTTACTTCTTTTTTCTGGATAGAACTGCTGCTTAAACTTTGATCCCATGGAATTTATCATCAGGAAGTTGGACCCATTGATTGTGAAAATGAACATAATGTGAATCCAGATAAATGAGACCACAAAATGGTAAAACCTGGCTAGACAATAACATGACAATGCCAGAGGTGAAGCAGGATTTTTAAAAAGAAAAAATATACTCAAATGCTGCAGGATTTTGTCATCATTTTAGTAGGGCTCATGTCTCACAGCAATTCTTACAGTATACATGATACGGGAAGTTGCTGTTGCTATGGCTTCTAAAGGTTCCCTGATAGTCCATGAAATGTTTATTTTTCTGGCCCTATGCCACAGCTGCCTGGACTTATGCAAGAAGAAGAGCCATGAATTGGGATGCTGGACTTTCATGCCTTACTCCAAATAGTGTACTATTCCCCAATTCAGACATACTCCTAAGTGCTTTCCCCTCCTAGTTTATTGAAATATCATCCTGTGTTGACACACTAGCAATTTGATGTTAAGGCTCAGCAATTTGATGTTAAGGCTCTGGACCCAGCTGTGACCTGTTAAAAGTAGACACCCAGGCTTTAAAGTTAAAGTAAAGGTAAAGGTTTCCCCTGACATTAAGTCTAGTTGTGTCTGACTCTGGGGGTGGTGCTCATCTCCATTTCTAAGCCGAAGAGCCAGCGTTGTCCATAGACACCTCCCAGGTCATGTGGCCAGCATGACTGCATGGAGCGCCGTTACCTTCCCGCAGAAGCGGTACCTATTGATCTAGATTGGCAGAAGGTGGGCCTAACAGCAGAAGCTCACCCCGCTCCCCAGATTTGAACCTCCAACCTTTCAGTGAGCAAGTTCAGCAGGATTTCCTTCCTTCTCTGAGACGAGGCAACTTTTCTTTTGGTAGAACATGAGAATGAACTTTAGGCTCCTGTGCCAGCAATCATCACAAAAGACCATTCATTCATCATGCTTTCGTACAAATGAGGGTAGAAAACTATTCAAACCAGGTAAGTGTTGCCATTTATGCACATCAGTGGCAGTTCCCCATAAAGGTTCTGCTTTTCTAGTTCACGAGTGGCTGCATATCAGAGGTTTGGTTGTTATGAAGCCCAACACATTTCAGCCTATAAATATTTGGAGGCCTCCCTTCAGGGGTGTTACAATATATGAAGAAAGCATAAGTACAACTATGTAAATCACAATCTACATAATGATCCAGTGCCGTGTGATGCTTGTGGGATACCAAAAACCTTGACTAGCAGGAGTGCTACAAACACCAAATTTGGGGAAGGATGAAAATACCATTTGCACCTTGGACTTAGGCTGGACATTGGCTTGGGCCAGCAATGCTGGTGGGAAGAGTGGACAAACTCCAGCCTTGCTCCCACATCCAACTTCTTAATCAACCTGCACAGCATGTCTGTAGTAACATACATTTCAGATATGTATGAAGAGTATAAACAGCTTAGAAAAATTATTTATTTCGGGGTTTTTTTTTACCCTGCCCTTCTCAACCCCTCTTGCATACTCACTAGTCTAATAAAAGTCAACTTCTGTCTCATGCTTTTAAGAGACCAAGAGCTGTGACAATTAAACAGGAAATCACTGGAATTAATATATCGGGGCTGGAATAGTATATTCTACAGATGGGGCCTATGAATAGCTATAAATTCCCTAGACAGAAGGCGCCATTGTGCGACGTGTATGGATTCTGATCAAACATTCTTCCAGCAGAAAACATATCTTGACTGACACCACTTAGAGCAACAGGATTAAATGGGTTTCAAATCCCTATTTTGCCATGGAAGCCCACTGAGTGACCTTGGACAAATATTGGCTCCGACAATGACAGGCCCACTATGAACTATGGTTGGCAGTTCAGTTCAGGCTCTAAAACTTCTGGGCCAAAGCATTAGATCTAGAGTTAGCCTCTGGTGATGTAATTAAGCATCAGGAATTAATTAACCTCTGATGTTGGTCACACTTCATAATTCTAAACAATTGAAACTATTTTCTTGTTTGGAAATTAAGATTTAATTTTAACTAAAGGGACTGCTCCCAGAGCCATGTGAAATGAGTGGATTATTTATTCTCATTTATTTAGCGAGATGTGATAAGGAACACTTAAATCTAACCTGCTTGCTTTTAGGCAAAATGTGCATTCACAGCAGAGTGAAGGGTGAGATTTGGTGTGACAAATCTCTGGAGAGTTTGCAGCAGCCAATAGATTAAACATTGCAGGGTGTAACTACTACTTCAATAGGTGAACTGGAGATTTGGGCCAGAGGTTTAGCACAGCTGGTAAATCACCAGTGATTATAAGATCTATCAACCAAAACCCAAACATAAGGCTGACTTGCATTTTGAGCTCCAAAACAAAGCCACCTTTGAAGCTATAGTTTTCTGCTATAACATCCATTCACAGAAGACAATGCGAAGGGGCTCAGAGACCAATGAAATTACTAAGCAACTCAGCACCTACAATAGAATACTAATAATACTTTATTTATAGTCCGCCCTAGCTCCCTGAGTGGACCCAGGGCAGTTATGTCTGAGTATTAATTGCTAGACCAACTATTTCCTCCTCTATACTCATAATTCAGAGGAAGGAACTGCAAACCACCTCTAAATACTCCTCACCTAGGAAAATCCTACAAAACTAATTAGATCTCCATAAGTCGATGGGCAACTTGAAGGCACGCACACAACAAAGCACCCATGCCATAAACATCAAAATGATGACACTCAAACACATTCCAATACTACAGTTGGGCCAGATCTAAAATATTAGACCTGCTGCATATCACCCTGTAAATACATGGATTGTCGTTGGACACTTTGAATTGGCTGGGAAAGATAACCAATCTTTGAGGAAATGGCACCCCTTCAAGAACAAGCAGTCCAACCTCTTCATGGTGAAGAAAATAGAGACATCCTCTCTTATTCTTGTGTTCTTCCTTATTAATGACCTCTATCATCATAACCATTCTCTGATACTGTTTGGCCACACTGGCCCCCATTTTCTTATGTGAAGTGTTGGAGGTATAATACAAATAAATCAGAAGTGGCTGTGGATATCATGTTTGAGAGCCCAATGCTGACTCAAACCTGGCCATTTATTGTTTTTGTTTGTTTTTGAAAACAGCAGGCAGAGGTCTTCAACCCCCATACCATCCGAACGGAAAACCGAGTTGAGTTGGGAAGGGAATGCAAACCAGGGCTTCCAAAATATAAAGAGTTAATGGCACCATGGACAGCAGATGTGCTCCCACAACTGTCCTGCTGTCTAATTTTGGGGCCTAGGGGAAGAGCAGACCCTTCTGTTCTTCGCCTTTGATGGCCAAGCAATAATAATAATTTTCAAAGAGGTCAGCTTTTGGAATAAAATCACAAGG